CGGGCGGCGCGGGGGCGGCATGAGGGCCGGCGGCCCGGGGGGCTGAGGCGCCCGCCGCCTGCCGCGGGGCCGCGCGCGTCCTCCATGGAGGCCGGAGGTGAGTGGGGCCGTGGCGCGCGTTCCCCGCCGGCGGGGCCGGGCCCGTTCCCGGGGGGGTGGGGCGCGGCCTCGGCCGGGGCGGGGGATGGGGACGGCGGGGGCGCCGGACCTGGGCCGTCCGCGTCGGCCGGCGGCAGGGTGCGCCCCGGGCGACCAGCTTTGTTTCGCTTTCGCTGTCAGCGGCCGCCACCCCGTCTCCCGCCGCCGACTGGACCCGGGGAGGACGGGCCTCTGCGCGGCGGGGATCCCATCCCCGGGACAGTCAGGGGCGCCCGGGGCCCGACGCCTCCGCCCGGGTGGGACACGACGGGCGCCAGGCCCTCGGGCGGGGGGGGGTGTGATACCCGAGAGGGTGGGTGCTGCTGCTCTCGAGGTCTGGGTGGGAGTCCGCTGTGCTCCTTACAGGCTGTGTGATCGTGGACGAACCGCTTAACCCAAGTCTGTTTTGTAGTTGCAAAATGGGTTAATAATAGTATTTGCCTCAGCGGGTGGTTGGGAGCTTCCCAAACTTGTCTGTGCGTGAAAATGGGGTCTGGAATCCCTATTGAAAAAACATATTCCAAGCCTCTCCCAATAGAGACTGATTTGTAGAGCCGAGCTGCCGATCCCTGGTGACATGGATGAGGGGACAAGTTTAGGATACACTGATGAGTGAGGTACTTGCCTCTCTCCTTGTTAACAGCTGTCATCAGAAAACGGTGTGGAAGTCGGAGAATATTGGAAGCACTTGGAGGGTCAGCCCAAATGACCATGCAGCCTCAGTGGGAATGGTGTGCTTGTTATGCAAAGGCCAAACCTCAAGACGCGTCCTTCAGGCTTCTTCTTTCCAACCACTTTGCCCCTAAACCCCACTAATAGAAGTTTGGGGTGGGCTTGTGATTTATTCTGGGAGTCCCAACTCTTGAATATACTCCCATGCTTAAAGGCGGTTTCCTGAGGGGAAATTTCTCAGAAGGGGGGGGGGGGGGGTCAAGGCCTAGGCTCAGAATTTGTTCCAGAACCTCTTTGTATTCTTCCAGTGAAGTTCAAGCTTCATTCTGGTCAGGAGGATTCTGATCGTGGGTGTTTTTGTGTTTCCCTGGCTTCTTTGATGGAGCAGGGATTGTGGGTGGGTGGGTTGAAATCAGGGTTTTCCCTGGGGTGGTGTAACTTTTTAATTTGGGAAATGACATTTCTTTGTTTGCTGGAGTAAGGCATTCAGTACCAGGTGTAGAGGTAGCTCTCTCTGCCTTCCCATCTAGATAAGGGCTTTCTCTTCGGCGAGTTTGTTACCCATAGAACTGTTGTTAAATGGCCCCTACTGTTTGTCTGAAATCTTATGTGAATCTTTTTATAGCTTCCGCTGTCTATTCCATTGACTCCTTTTAGTTTATATCTGGAAGCGATCTGGAGCTAGCCTCCCTTTTTAGCAGGAATCTGTTTCCAGTTCTGGGTTTTTCCTAATGATTGACGACTGTGTTTTGGGGTGTGGGCTGAGCTGTTGAGAGCTGCCAAGCTACCGGTAAAAAAAAAAAGGCCAGAGTTTTATTCTTTTGAAACTGAATAAAGACCATTGTAATGGGACTAATTGTAATGGACAGCAGTAGATATCTTCAGAGTAGTGGTTAGAACGTATTTATTCATTCAAATATTTATTGAGTGTCTACTATGGGCCAGGCACTCTCTAGGCCAGCACCGGCCAATAGAAATATAACGCGAGCCAGATATGCAATTTGAAATGTTCTAGTAGTTGCGTTAAAAAAAAAAAAAAGTGAAACAGGTGAAAGTAATTTTAAAATTATATCTTTGTCAATCCCGCATATCTAAAATATTATCATTATAACGTAATCATGAATAATTATTGAAAATTTTTAGATTTTTGCTTTTGTACTGTCTTTGAAGTAAAGTATGTACCATGTACCTAATGGCCCATCGTAATTGGGACTTGCCACGTTTCAGAAGGTCAGTAGCCACGTGTGGCTAGCAGTTACTGTATTGGACAGCACAGCCCAATAGCAGTGAACAGTTCGGAATGAGGGTGGGGAAGAGAGAAACAACAGTTACATAAAGAGAAGCAAGCAATCAAGAGAAGTTGTGCGAGTGATAGTTATAAAGAAAATTCAGTGGAGTGAAAAGAAAGTGATTGGGCCACTTTGGATAGTGAGGCCAGGAAGGTCTCTGAGAAGGTGACACCAGCACTGAGGCCTGAAGGGTAGGCAGAGCAGCTGGGCGAGGATCTGGGGCCAGCCAGGCAGCGTTTTCTGAACGGATGGAACATCTCATGTAGAGATCTCAAGGCAGGACAAATCAACAAGCTTCCTGCCGGCTAGAGTCATTCATAGCTTCTCTCTCTCTGTGTTCAGGCAAATCTCCTTTCACAGAAGAGGCCCATGGTAAATGTCTTTCCACTCTGCCTGATTATCCAAACACATCCCAGTGTTTAATTAGAAAACTCAGATCCATAGGCCTTTTCAGCAAGAAGGGCCAGGGCAGGTACAATCCCAGATGAAGCTGGATCATCTTGCCTCTGGTTTTTTTTTTTTTTTTTTTAAAGTTCTGCACTAATTATGGCTTTCTTTTCCAGCAGCCAAGTTTAGTTTGGGCCCAGCCTCCTCTTCAGAATCTCCGTAGTTCCTTCGGTTTTTTTCTTATTTTAGTTCTTGGATTCTTGAGCCTGAAATAGCAAGAGATTAAATCCCCAAATCACAGAAATAGAGTGTGAAATCTGGGTATGGCTTATGTTTAAGAAGCATTTCATGTAAAATGTTTGGCAAAGGCATCATAATAGTCTAAGGGGCTTCATTTCATTTATATTATAGAGAGATACCATGTATATTTATTCCACAAATATTTACTGCTCTCTGCCAGGAACTCTGCTAGGCACTGGGGATAAACATACAAGGTCCCTGCTCTGTCGGTGGCATTGATGTCCTAACTGGAGGGAGACGGATAATAATCATAATGGTGATTGTGATGTAAAGAAAATAAAGTGAGGAGTTATGAAGGACATTGACTTGGGATCAGAGCAGGGCTCTCTAAGGAGTTGTCATTTGAGCCGAGACCTGGATGAAGAGAAGGTGCCAGGCATGCAGGCATTCCAGTCTGGAATAGTCAGCTATAACAGAGAATAGCTGGTGCAAAGGCCCTGAGGTCGGAACTAATTGAGCATAGTCGAGGAGTGAGAGAAGGCCAGTGTGCAGGACTTCTAGGGCAGGGTGAGGATTTTATTCTAAGAGTGATCGAAACTGATCACTCTGAAAGGTGAGGAGAATGGGTGTTGGGGGCCAGAGGGGGAGCCAGGAGAGCAGTCTCCTAGCAGAGGGAGCTAGGAGTCTGCTTAGTGAGAGATGATGTTGCATATATGAGCCAATGTTGATGAGACGATGTTGCATAGGTTAGAATAGCAGCCGTGAGATGGAGGAAAGTTAGGTTTGGCAAGTCTTTTGGAAGCAGATGCAGTAGAACTAGTTAATGGATTTGGTTTGGGAGGTAAAGAAAAGAGAGAAGTCAGGGGTGACCCCTTTTCATATTGTGTGGAGCCTCCATGGTGTCGAAAGGATGGATAACGTGCGTATTGTGGAGGAAGCGAACCAAGTGTGAATATTACCAGGGTGGAATGAAGTCAGGTGATGACAATGTACCTCCAGATCAGTCAATGTCATTTAATATTTGACTCCATCTGGCTTCTCAACCTCAGCACCACTGACATTTTGAGCAAAATAATTCTTCGTTGTAGGGGCTGCCCTGTAGGATGTTGAGCAGCATCCCTGGCCTCCACCCATTAGATGCCAGTAGCACCCCCTCTGGTTACGACAACCAAAATGTGTCCAGACATTGCCACATGTCCCTGGGGGGCAAAAGTGCCCCTGGCTGAGAACCACTGGACCCCATGAGGAGGCATTAACAGAATAGGGCTCTTTTACCTTAAGAAGATATCTAGAAATAATGGGAATAAACGCCACGGGGTTGCTGCGTAACACTGAGTCTTGTTTTGGATTTACAGTATAAAGTAAGTTCTTACCATGCAGATATTCACATCCAGAGGACTGTGCTCAGATACACAAGTAATTGTGTAAGTGAAAGGATCGCCTGTGCAAACACAGATTTCTAGGAGGAATTACCTGGGCATATACAAATGCCAATTTAGACAGATCTGATATATTAAAACCTAGATTTAAGCATAGAACCTCAGGGAATTAATATTCTCTTTACAAAGGAAACTTCCTTAAATTTTCTTTAAATAACAAAGCCATAAAGGCTTAATATGATTTATTAAAATTCTATTTAAAGACAGAATTTTCAGCAATACATTTATTTCATGAAACAAGATATACCCATGTATTTTCCTATAATGCATGTCAGAAAAATATATATATATACGTATAAATATTATTTACATATATGCATGTTTACCGTCTGTTTCATTGAATCCAGGATATCATGGATTGTATTGCCAATATGTGTCACTGAAAAAAATACTGCCTATTTAACTATGAAAAGTCATCGCTTGACACATCCTGATTTTAACAAGGTCAAACTGAGAAGACTTATAAAGATGTGTCCTAAAATATACGAAATAGGGGCTGTTTAAATTAGTATCTATCTGGTAACAGCTATAAAAAGGTCAAAGTCTCAAAACTGCTAAAGTGGAACATACACATCAGACAGTGACCTCATTCAGGATGGAAGCCAGTTTTTATATTCCTATGTAACACAATTGTAGCGATCAAAAAATCAGTTCTGAAGGCCTTGAACTTACAAGCTTTGTCAGCCATTGAGAATCTTCCGCTGTAGGGGAGACTTGAACTGGGGACTGCCCTTCAGGTCGATGAAGAAGCACCAGTCCAGCCCCCGCCCTTCACAGGATGCTGTGCTAGCCTCCCCCCTCCGCCCCCCCCCCCCAAAAAAAAGAAACAAGGATTGAATCGGCTTGGTGTTTGAAGGCGGCTGCGTAAATTCCCAGCTGGGGGTGGCGTTGGGGCAGAGGGAAACTTGTCACTACAGGAGAGAAAGAAATAAGGAGAGTGGGACTTCCTTCCGCTTTGATAGTGTGAGATCTGGGTATGCTTCTGGGTTGCTAATCTCAGTGGGATTCTCATAAGCAGAAAATGAGTCTAGGTGTGAACTCAGATGAGCTACTTGGGGCACGACAGGGAGGTGTGTGTGGCCGGCGTGTGGCGTGCAGGGAGACGACCGGAAAGGGAAGGCTGGGGCCGGTGGGGTGGGCTGGGAGGCCGGGTCTCAGCTGCCTTTATCTGGTAGGCAGGTGGGAGCTTTGGAATGTATTTGAAAGAACTGTCAAGATGTGATGTGCGTTTCAGCTTCAGCAGGGTCCCTGGGGGCAGGAGAAAATGCATCAGGAGAGTCTTGTAAAAGATCGGAGCAAGATGGGATGAAGGTTTAGGCCAGAACAGAGAGGAGATGGAAGTGGGAGGCCAGATCAAGAAGTCTGAGTGACAGGAAGCAGGGCCAGTGCTGAACATTTTAGCCTTGATGATGGGGAGGATGATGGGGAGGATGACGGGGAGTGAGAGGGAGCCTGTGAGTTTCAGATATTCCTTCTTTCACCTGTTTCCCAGTAGCAGGTTCTTTTGGAGAGACCTTAAGTGCATCTGAAGGCTTCCTGATCAGCACCGTCTGATCCTTGCCTGGCCTGTCTCCTTTCTGCCTCTTCGGGCTTTCATAGGAAAACGAGGCCTCCCTTCACTGGATTCACTCTTACAAAGGTTACTCTGAGTCACGGTTAACCAGAAGTCAGGAGTGCCAGCACTGAGTAACCCCACTGGAATTCGGCCTGTGGCTACTGTTAGTGCCCCAGGTCATTTAAATGACAACTCCCTCCCAGAATCCGGACTGTCACTTTTTGCCATGGGGAGACCTTGGTGGCTTTCCAGTTTCTGAGTCAGCAAGGTGGTCAGGGGCCTGGTTCTGCCCTTACCCTCGAGGTGAGGGTGCCTGTTTGAAGCATGCTGTCTCCTGCCCCAGAGGAGCCACTGCTGCTGGCCGAACTCAAGCCCGGGCGCCCCCATCAGTTTGATTGGAAGTCAAGCTGTGAAACGTGGAGCGTTGCCTTCTCTCCGGATGGTTCCTGGTTCGCCTGGTCTCAAGGACACTGCATTGTCAAGCTGATCCCCTGGCCGCTGGAAGAGCAGTTGTAAGTTCTTTCACACCCAAGGGAGTGAGGGAGTCCTGGGGAACTGAGCGCTCTCCCAGATGGCTCCCTGCCCGAGAGCAGGAGAGGGAAGGTGGCCAAAACAGTTCAGCAATTGGATCAGTGAGGTTTCCAGGGTCCCACATTCTGTACCTGTGAAAATTAACTCCATCGAGATTATGTTAGCCCTGAGTTTCTTTTTTTTAACAGCTTCACTGAGATATAATTTACACGCCGTACAGTTTGCCCATTTAAAGTGTGCAGCCAGAGGCCCAGCTGGGTAGTTAGGCCTGATTGTTCGGCAGCTGCTGATGAGGGCTGACTCCCCCTTACCAACTAGCTGTATTTTAAATTTCTCTAAACTACCTGAGTCCTTTGGAGGCAAATAAACTTGTCTTTCACAAAAAAAATAAATAAAGTATACAGCTAAGTGACTTGAGAATATTCAGAGTTGTGCATCCATCGCCACGATCAGTCTTACAACATTTTTGTCGCCCCAAAAAGAAACCCTCTAATCCCCCTCTGCTCTCCAGCCCTGAGCAGCCTCTAATCTACTTTCTGTCTTTATAGATTTGCCTGTTCTAGACATTTCGTACAAATCAAATCATACACTATGTAGTCAGTTGACTGGCTTCTTTCACTTAGGATACTGTTTTCATGGTTATCCGTGTTGTAGCATGCTTCATGACTTCATTTCCCTTTACTGCCAAATCATGCTCCATCTTATGGAGACACCACATTTTGTTTATAAGTTTATCCACTGGTGAACATTCAGGTTGTTTTCACTTTTTGGCTATTAGATAATGCTTCTGTGAACACTTAGGTGAAGTTTTTGTGTGGATATATGTTTTTGTATATGTTTAACTGGTTGAGGAACTGTCAGACTGTTTTTCAAAGTGGTTCCAGCATTTTACAATCCCACCAGCAATGTTGGAGATTTCCAAATTTTCCACATCCTGACCAACACTTGTTATCGACTGTCTTTTTTTTTTTTTTTTTTTTTTTTTGCGGGCACGGGCCTCTCCCGCTGCGGAGCACAGGCTCTGGACGCGCAGGCTCAGCGGCCATGGCTCACGGGCCTAGCTGCCCCACGGCATGTGGGATCTTCCCGGACCGGGGCACGAACCCGTGTCCCCTGCATCAGCAGGCGGACTCTCAACCACTTGTGCCTCCAGGGAAGCCCTTGACTGTCTTTTTGATTATAGTATAGCCATCCTAGTGGGAGCAAAGTGGCATCTCATTGTGGTTTTGATTTGCATTTCCTTGTTGGCTACTGATCTTGCCCACCTTTTCATGTGATTATTGGCCCTTTGCATGTCTTCTTTGGAGAAATGTCTATTCAGATCCTCGGTCCATTTTAAAATTGGCTAGTTGCCTTTTTTATTATCAACCAAGTTCAGTTCCTGATAGTAACTAGCTTTTCTGTCTCTGGGCTGGACAAGTCCCAGTATCTGAATGCTGTGAGCTCCCAGTCAGATGGCCCAGCATCAGTATTTTTTTCATTTGTCACAGGGCAACTCTATGTCTGTATTTATTTACTCAGCCAACAGTTGTTGTAGTCTTCCTTGCCTGACCCAGAGCCAGGGGCTGAGAATCCTGAAATAAATCAAACATGGCCCCTGCCCATTAGGGTCTCATTTGTTTTGCTTTAAGCATTTCTTACAAGTAGCACGTTAGATTTAAGTTTTTTATAAGTTCAGTCTGAAACTTGTTGCCTTGATAATAGGTAACGCTGATGAAAATTTGCTGAGATGGGTACTCTGCACGCTGCTGGGGTTGAGGAGTATAAATTTGTGCACTTGCTGGAAGGAAGGCCATTTCGAGGACCTTAAAACTGCTCTTCCTGCGATTAGGAATCTCAGAAATGGGGTCACCTATTTATTTATTTAAAAACTTTTATTGGAGTACAGTTGATTTACAATGTTGTTATTTTCTGCTGTACAGCAAAATGAATCAATTATACATATACATATATCCACTCTCTTTTAGATTCTTTTCCCACATAGGTCATTACAGAATATTGAGTAGAGTTCCCTGTGCTATACAGTAGGTCCTTATTAGTTATCTATTTTATATGTAGTAGTGTGTATATGTCGATCCCAATCTCCCAATTTATTTCTCCCGCCACTTCCCCCCGGTAACCATAAGATTGTGTTCTACATCTGTGACTCTATTTCTGTTTTGTAGATAAGTTCATTTGTACCATTTTTTTTATAGTCCACATATAAGTGATATCACATGATATTTGTCTTTCACTGTCTGACTTACTTCACCTAGTATGACAATCTCTAGGTCCATCCATGTTGCTGCAAATGGGAGGTCATCCATTTACATACACTGATTTTCAACATGAAATTAATCATATGGTAGTTAAAAATCAGAAATAACTTAAAATCTGGTGATGAGAGAACGCTTAAGGAAATTTTGGCATTGCTGTATATTTCTGTAGCCATCAAAGATTGTTGTGTGTGTTTTTTGTTTTTGTTTTTTTTAATCACAATTTTCAGTTCCTTCTATACTCAGTTTAATGGTAATGCCAAGATCATTATTTATGGGTTCCCCCAGTCTAAATACAAGGGACTCAACTTCATATCCAGACTTAAATCTGATATAGATTTATAGTCTGAAAAAGTATTTTTTAAAAAGCATAAAGTGGGAAATCTGTTACTTCCTTGAAAATCACTCTTGTATTCAAATATATATATTACTATACATAAATATATCTTTCCAATATTAGGGAAAATGTAAATTTGAGCATTAACCCTTTATGTGTATCTTTTGTTTAATACAATGAGGGAAATATTGTTTAATATGTTAAATGAGCAGTTACTTGTTTTAGGGAAAAATCACACATTTTGAAGAATAATAACTTGAGGAAATGCTTACAGTACAAGGCTTACTGAAAAAAGCAAGCTATGAAACTGTATTTGCAGTATGATCCCAAATTTGTTTTTGAATAACATGTGAATGTACACATAAATTAAAAATTCATCATACAGTGTTTACTGTGGTTAGAGTGGTATTAGGATCTGGGTAATTTTTATAATTTTCTCATTTCCAAAATTTCCCCATGTTTCACTATTAATTTTATAATTTAAAATAATTGTTATTTTAAAAGCCCTTTAAAAGGGGAAATCTGGCCCTTTATATTCTTCTTAGGGTTGTTATACATTTAAAAAATCATATAATGTAGCGCTTTTGATATTGAGCAAATAATTGATAATAACTAGGTAAATGTACTACTTTTAATAAAATTTTCTGAAAATTCAGTTTTGGTGAAGTTAAATTCTCCTAATGACTGTCCCCGGCCCCGAGCGGCCCCCTCCCACAGTCGCGTCTGCCACCTCCCATGTAGCTCATCCCTTGAATTCATTGCAGACTCTGAAGTCCAGGGCATGTGCTGAACACTAGGCTAGGACACCCAAGACTTGACTACTAGTTCCCGTTCTGCCCCCAATTTTGTGATCCCAGGAAAGTTATCTCTACCCCTAACATGTTAAATTTATGATAGTAAAATGAGTTACTATGCCAATGTGCCTTAATTCCTTTGGAATAAAGTAGCTACAGATGTATCCCTTAATTCAAATACAGAAATCAGGATTTTATAAAAAAAAAAAAAAGGTAACTTTGGAGGTTCTGAGCTGGCCTACAGAGTTCTCCCCATAGCTTGCCTTTTCTGTGCTTCTGCCCTGGATGGCCAACTAAGGCCCCCGAGTCAGGGCTGGGCAGGTCTTCGAAGTGTCTGTGTCGGCCTGGCTGGGGCCGGATGTGGATTGGGTGGGCTTCATTGAAAAGACATTCAGTGTCACATTTCAGATGTTCTGTCAGAACGACACATTTTCAGACCACGTTTGGCCATTTAGACCAGGGGTCGGCACACTTTTTCTATAAAGGCCCAGATAGTAAATATTTCTGGCTTTGGGGGCCGTATGTCTCTGTCAAGACAAGTCAGCTCTGCTGCTCGAGCGTGAACACGTCCCTAGGCGAGAGGTGGGCAGACGAGCCTGGTGGAGGTGGGAGACGGCTTCACGTACAGAACAGACTGCCATCCCGGGCACACTCCCGCAGCCTCTGCTTTAGAATGACAGACTTTCAGAGTCGAAGGAGCCACGTTTGCCGCAGTCTCTCCCTTCTAGTTCTGTAGGTGAGCTTGCTTAAAATTTTTTAATATATTTCGATGATGCGATTGGCAAAAATATGACTTACTTAACTTTTCGGGAATAGATGTAATACAGAAAGAGGTTCAGCTGCATGTATGTTGGCTACGGGATTTTTCATGGAAATGAGTCCCAGCTTTATCATCACTCTTTCCTCCAGTTCGATAAACCACGGAGTGTGGCCATGTAGCAAAGCAGGACTGAATACTTACAGTGATAAAGTGTACTGCAGATAAGTGTTCTGCGTTTGCGGGCCGAACCCCAGGACTGTTTAATTGCTCATGCCTTTGAGACATTGTCTGCGAGGCAGAGTGGTGGGCAGGGCCCTGTTTCTTAGGGATGGAGTCTTATTTAGCTTGTCTGGGCCTGTGTTTCAGCATAAGTTGAAGGTAAAAGGAAAGGCTTGGGCCACGAGATCTTTGAGGTCAGCATGCCCCTGAACAGCTCTGTGAGTTCTTCCCTTCACTGCCCTGCTGGTTGGTTCCTGGACTGGATGTGCCATCAGAGAAGTAAATGAAAGAGCCTCATTCATTGATTGGAGCAAAGCGAGTGAAGGTGGAAATCGGCGTGTACCAAGCAAACTGTTGGCCCGAAAATTGGGTTTATTTTCCTGCTCCTTGGGGACTTTCTAAGCTAGAGATAAGGGGGGTATGAGGCAGAAGAGTGGCACATGGTTATACAGGCTCTAAGTTCTGTCCTAGTTCCAAACCTACAGCATGCTTTCTTTCTCATGAGAAACATGGAGTGCATCTTTCCTTCCATGCACCAAAACCCAGGAGAACTTTCTGAAGAAGCAAATGGCTCCCAGGAGCATCTGTGATTTAGTTATCCCACAAGGCAGGTCGCCCCACTGCAGGACTGTCACAGATGGGATGAGCCACGGCCAGTGAAGTCTCTGTTACACGAATTCTAAAAAAAAAAAACAAGAAGAAAGGTCGTACTAGAATTCACTGAAGGCCTATTTGTTTCTGGGATTTCAAAGGCTTAGGTACCCCAGAATGAAAAGTCGATTGACTTGGTGGCAATTTCAGACTCATTAAGAACTCTCTGCTTTTCCCAGCATCCCTAAAGGGTTCGAAGCCAAAAGCCGAAGCAGCAAAAATGATACAAAAGGGCGAGGCAGCCCAAAGGAGAAGACGCTGGACTGTGGGCAGATTGTCTGGGGCTTGGCCTTCAGCCCGTGGCCTTCTCCACCCAGCAGGAAGCTCTGGGCACGCCACCATCCCCAGGTGCCAGATGTCTCTTGCCTGATCCTTGCTACAGGGCTCAACGATGGGCAGATCAAGATTTGGGAGGTGCAGACAGGTAGGTCATTTCTGGCTGGGATCAGGCCCCAGGGGGCTCTCGTGCACATTCCGATCAGGGACCAGAGGGGCCGCCAGTTGGCTGAGGGGTGTGGCTGTGACCTGTAGGCCAGAGCTGCCTCTCCCCCTGATCGAGTGCCCCTCTCTCTCACGCTAGGGCTCCTGCTTTTGAATCTGTCTGGCCACCAAGACGTCGTGAGAGATCTGAGCTTCACACCCAGTGGCAGTTTGATTTTGGTTTCTGCATCCCGAGATAAGACTCTTCGCATCTGGGACCTGAATAAACATGGTATGGAGGTGACGGAATGACTTGGCAACCCCAAAATACTGTATTTGCCCCTCTCTCTACTTGACCAGTGTCATTTTATCCAGAACAGTGTTTCTCAACCTTTTTTTCTGTTATTGCCTCCTGAGGAGACTTTTTAGACATGTTTTTCCTAGTCACCCCCCCAGCCCCCTCACCACCTGGGAGATTTTCATGCCAAAAATACATTGACTATCTCTTCAGGTACTGGATGTGTATCTGTGCTTTGTACATAAAAAAGGTCAGATTTTTCTGGCCATCAAGAACCAGTTTTCACCCCTCTCGAAAATACATGGTGTAGAATAGGTTTTCTCAGCTGTGGCACTCTTGCCATGCTGGGCTGGCTAATGCTTTGTCACGGACCTTCCTGTGCATTCTGGCGTGGAGCAGCATCCTTGCCCTCTTAACCCGTGAGATGCCAGTAGCACCTTCTCTAGTTGTGACAACCAAAAATGTCTCCAGACAGAGCCCAGTGTCAACATAAAGGCCACAGCCTCCCCGGGTTGAGAACCACTGATCTGGAAGAAGTCATCCATGTTGGGTACTTCCTGTTAGAAGTAAAGTTTCTTTGTACCGTGGAATCTAGGTCTACAAGAATCCTCTCAGGCTGGGGTGGGGAGGGGGGCGGTCAGCCCTAGTGCAGTTCTGCTCTAAGCAGGACTGTATCCCGGAGCAGCCCGACGGAGAATTCCATACATCTCTGGTGTTTCTCCTCAGCTGGGAGGGTGACACAGGGAAGGGGAATTGGTTGCCGGGCCATTTCTCCCTCGCAGGCGTGGAGGGAGGTGGAAGGAGGAAATGGGGACGTGGGCGGTTCATGAAGAGCACCCTCGTCCCTGATGATGCAGAGTCCGAGCGGTGACTGCAGCTCTCCACACCACGAGAGGGGCCCCGTCCCTGCCCTCTCAGAAACGAGCCTGATAACTTGTCAGGCAACTAAGGAGGTGCTTGTGGTGTCCTCATCTGAAGGCATCGAGTCACACGGCGCGCCCTGGGTCCTGTCTGCCCGTTGCTGTGGAGCTTGTGGCTGTGTGGTCTGAGGTGGGCCTGCTGACTGGGAGGGTGCTCAGACGCAGTGCCTTTTTTTTTTTTGGCGGTACGCGGGCCTCTCACTGCTGTGGCCTCTCCCGTTGCGGAGCACAGGCTCCGGACGCGCAGGCTCAGCGGCCATGGCTCACGGGCCCAGCTGCTCCGCGGCATGTGGGATCTTCTCGGACTGGGGCACGAACCCATGTCCCCTGCATCGGCAGGCGGACTCTCAACCACTGCGCCACCAGGGAAGCCCCGCAGCGCCTTTTTTAATGAGTGTCGCAGGCACCTTGCCACCATCTGAGGCAGGGAGGGAGGACTCGCTGAAGGGGCTGAGAGTGGGCAGAATGGACTAGGCCAGTTACTAGGGCTCTTCAAGGAGAGGAGGGGACTAAGGTAGTGTCCCCAGGCACGGGGCCCTGCCCTCCCACCCTGCCTTGATTCACTCACTCACACCTACCCCGGGGGAGCAGGTACGCTTCTTACTTGAGAGCTGAAGAAACCATGACTGACTTTCATAAAATTTATTTCTGTATACCCACACATACACGTGAATTCTTAAATGCATATGTATGACCATATACATTCTTCCCCCCTTTTTGGGGGCTTCTCCCCCCAAACTTTCTCATCCTCCCCTCCTTTGCATTCCTCCATAATCCCCCTGCAGTCCTGTCACCCATGCTAAATAAGACCCTTCCATATTGCCTTCCGTATTTTTCTCTATACTTGCATAATCCTATTCAGACACTCACTTTTTTTTAAATTATTAGTTTATTTCTGGCTGTGTTGGGTCTTCATTGCTGCATGCGGGCTTTCTCTGGTTGCGGTGAGCGGGGGCTACTCGCTACTCTTCGTTGCTGTGCGCAGCCTTCTTATCGCAGTGGCGTCTCTTGTTGCGGAGCATGGGCTCTAGGCGCGCTGGCACATGGGCTCAGTAGATGTGGCGCGCAGGCTCGGTAGTTGTGGCGCACGGACTTAGTTGCTCCGTGGCGTGTGGGATCTTCCCGGACCAGGGCTCGAACCCGTGTCCCCTGCATGGGGGGACACTTAACCACTGCCACCAGGGAAGTCCCAGACACTCACTTTTACATTTATGGATTTGGGGGTCATTGTTTCACAAAAATGGAATCATATTCTTCACATTTTTTCTGCATTTTTCTTTTTTATTAGACAGTACTCCATGGAAAATCTAGTTCCTTAATTTCATCTGACTTAACAGGTGGAATACTACCCTTTATTCATCCATTCCTCTGTTGATGGGCATTTAGCTTTTTCCCAGATGGAGATCTGAAGAGATGACGTGAGTGACCTAGGGTTATGCGCTGAGTAAACAGTGGAGCCAGGATTCAAGGCTGAGTTTACCTGCCTCCAGAGCATGTGGCCCTAATTATGCTGCACCACTGCTCATCCGGACATCCTGGCGAGGGTGGGAGGAGGGTGAGAGTGGGATCCTTGTGGCCAGGGGGAAACCATTACAGAGCATAAATGACAGAGAATTGAAGGTAAACACTTTCAAATTTGGAAGGATGCTTCAGAGTAACTGAGGTGGTTGGGGGACCTAAAAAGAATGTTCTCTGTTATCAAAGGAATGTATCAAACCTGATCTGTGGACAGCCTTTGTCCCACTGACCTTGTGGATTTTGGTGAAACAGTAGGTAATGATTTCCCTTGGGCATTATAACGTCATGTTAATAGATTTCAGGCATTTAAATGACAAATCCTGTCATATTTCTTTCTCTGCATTAAAAAAGGGGCCCGTGGGCTCAGCTGCTAGAGAACCGCTGGATATAGCGGGTGGGGCTGGGGGGGAGGCACCACTGCCGGTTCTTCAGGCTTCCTGCTCTGTGGTTTTGGGAGTCGGCTCACCGTATGCTCCATTTCTCTGACAGGTAAACAGATTCAGGTGTTATCGGGCCACCTGCAGTGGGTTTACTGCTGCTCCATCTCGCCAGACTGCAGCATGCTGTGTTCTGCAGCTGGGGAGAAGTCGGTGAGTCTCAAACTTGGGGTGCCCTTTGCTCTGTTGCTTCGGTTCAGGGAAGCGGCCTCATGCGTGAGAGGGTAAGTGAGCCAGTGTCCTTGAAAGCCGCCTGCAAATCAGCCCCGGCGGGAGGCACGCTGCCGGGCTGAGGCCCCTCCTTTTCTGATTTGCACTTTGACACAAACCAAAGGAGAGGAGGTGTTTGGAAGCAGATCGCTCCCGTCATGTCATGGGAGGGCTGTTTGCCTTCACAAGATGGGAAAGCCATGTTTTTTAAATTTCTTTCCCTGTTGGAGTCTACGATTTTAAAAGTTGCAACCCACATGTGTATCCAGATTTCCTTTGAACCATCTAATTTGAATCCACCTAATTAGGATTTCCATTCAAATCATAAAATGTACAGTAACTCGTTGAACTTTGTCCTGAAATCCTGTCTATTGTAACAAAAGTACTAGAAACCCAGGAACAGTTTGGGAACCGATTGTTTTTTACATCTGCATTGAGCTGTTGTTGGCTGTGACCGACTTGGGAAAGTTAAGAGTTCACTATTTGGTACAGCTCAGGTGGTTAATCATTGATTTGAGGCTTGGAACTATGTGAAAGTGAGAGTTTTCTTAAAGGAAAAAAAGAAAATACTTCTTTTAATGATTCTCAGAAAGGTTTCAAGTAAGGAGCTAGGTCAGACCTACAGCCGTGGGGCAGATTTCTGTGGTCCTGTAAACCAGAGGCGGGTGTCAGATGGCTCTGTTGGCTGACCAGGAATTCACCTCTGACCCCTATTTTTGGTTTCAAGTGAAAGGACAAGGTAGCCCTTGGCTTAGGTCTTCAGCATGCATTGCCCTATTTGCTAAGAGCGCTCAGAAGCAGGACCCAGAAGCTTCCCCTGAGCCATGCTGGCTGCTGTCTTCCTGAGGTCGGTTGGTTGATTCTCCCCTCAAGTAAGCTCCTTGAGCATGTCTGTTGGTTCTGTGCCTCAAGAATTCAGACCTGTCACTTTATTTAGGCCAGTATGACATGTTCTAGAAGAAACATAGAAAAGGGGCTGGAGCACTTAGCTTCCCCTGGCTGTGCGGCCTGGAGAGGCAAGGCTGTGCCTTCTCCTCACTGTTCACGTCTTGAGCACTGTTTCCGTCCTGACCAGGCACCTGTTCTTCCCACAGGTCTTCCTGTGGAGCATGCGGTCCTACACATTAATCCGGAAGCTGGAGGGCCACCAGAGCAGCGTGGTCTCTTGCGACTTCTCCCCCGACTCTGCCTTGCTCGTCACGGCTTCTTACGATACCAATGTGATCATGTGGGACCCCTACACTGGCGAGCGGCTGCGGTCACTCCAGTAAGGACTGCCTCCCCGCTTCCGCTTCCCGGTGGGGTGTTCGATGGGAAACCTGTCTTGGTCCAGGACACAGTGTGTTCGTGCTTATTCTGAGGCACTGGTGTGCAGCAGTGTTTCATTGTCAGTTCTCAAATTAGCCCCGAGTGCCTTCAGGTCTCCGGCTATAGGAGGCTCTCTGTACTGCTTTGGATTCAGCATTATGAAACCTCACAGTGACTCTTTCTTTCCACTTACTAATAACTGTAGCAACAGGTTCAGAATGATCCTCTTATTGAAACTGTTATTTCCAAAGTGAATTTTCATGTTCTCACCAACTTGGTCTACTTTTCCCCTTTGTCTCTGTTGTTTTCTGAAGCAAATAATAGGTAGTCCTATAATTATCATGTATCTTAGCCTAAAAAAGACTTTCAGTTTGTACTGTGGCATTAAAGCGAGGGCTGACCTACTTTGCGGAAGGAAGTTAGCACAGGGAATATTAGCAACCTTCAGCCCCTCCACGAGACACGGGAGCTGTATGAAATGCACTTGTTTCCAGTCGTCTTTTCCAGTCTGCAAATCCCCAGGTTTTCCACATGGGGTACGAGACATCTCTGGAACCTTTTTGTGGCCATGGCACTTTGGCCTCCTGCCTGGGGATGAAAGGCGGAGGGCGGAGGGCAGCCATCACTCCAGGCCCACCTACTGTCCTGTGTCCTCCTCAGCCACACCCAGCTCAACCCCCCCATGGATGACAGCGATGTCCACATCAGCTCCCTGAGATCTGTGTGCTTCTCCCCCGAAGGCTTGTACCTCGCCACGGTAGCGGATGACAGGTAACGAAGAGAAACCTCTTTCTGTGGCCTCAGAGCAAGTGTTGGAAAGGGCTTGTAGCATCACCCTTGGGGTCTGGCCCCAGGTCTGCTGACACGTCCCTTTCTCCTCCAGGCTCCTCAGGATCTGGGCCCTGGAACTGAAAACTCCAATTGCGTTTGCTCCTATGACCAATGGTCTCTGCTGCACATTTTTTCCACATGGTGGAGTTATTGCCACGGGGTACGTATCTGTTAGCCAAACAGATGGGTAGTGATTTCTGCTGAGTATTCCATGTAGCTTTTTAAGGAAAGAAAGCATCTAGAATTTTCTTGCCTGTGAGGAAGGCTTTAAGGAAATCTGAGATTACATAAAATTCTGATATTCTCTTCTAATAGAGTTTATCATTTACTCTTAATATTTAGCCTAAATGTCAACGTGAAAGATCTACAATTCATGCTATTAACAGGCCAAGTCTGCAAGGAAGCAGAAAGCAAGATGATGCAGCATTTATATAGGAAACCATTTAGGGCAGAGACCACCTTACAGGGAACATCTGTAATTCAACAGGTGGCACTCTTCCCTGTTACATTTGAACCCATAGTATGATCTATAAAGGGCTGTACTGACAGAGACAGCACTTTGGAACCAGAGGTGTCTTGAGTTCTCCTGCTGCCCTCAGCAGCCTTAATTACTCAGCACCACAGCCTTCATATCTATTTCCAAGGTCCAGGTTGCATTTCACTCTCTAGAGTCTCCTGCTAATGCAAGTGAGAGTAGAAACGTTGATATCTGTCCCAATGAAAACATACATTTCCAAGGTCTGCCGTAACGCACTGGTTTCCGTCTCATTTCAGGACAAGGGATGGCCACGTCCAGTTCTGGACGGCTCCTCGGGTCCTGTCATCACTGAAGCACTTATGCCGGAAAGCCCTGCGAAGTTTCCTAACAACGTACCAAGTGCTAGCGCTGCCAATCCCTAAGAAAATGAAAGAGTTCCTCACATACAGAACTTTTTAAGCCAGTCTCCATAGTCTTACTTGTTTCCTCTGTAGCAGGATAAATCTTCCTGACAAGTAGCTGGAGCAGTGGGCCAAACATCTGGTCTTGGATTGAAATAGAATCTCTCTTTGGGATTGTGAACAGAATGTAGCAAAACCAGATTCCAGTGGCCTCGCCAGGGCCAGGGGTCTCTTCCCCATGAGGTGTGAGGGTCAGTCGTAGAAGAGAGATTCCACTTCTGCAGTGACGGAGCCTGACCTTAACCTTCAGTCCACTTAATGGACAGCAGTGCTGGACCCTCTCTGGTCATTTTGATTCCAAGAAGTTTCCACTCCCTCGAATGGGAGTGTCCGTCGTTGATGCAGATGCAGAGGAGGTGTTGGTGAAAGTTGTCTCCTGCTGGTCAGAGCCGCTTTGATGTGGACAAGGGCTTTCCTTCCTCTGACCCACGGGACAGTTTTCACAGAGCCGTCTAGGGTGAGATATTACTTAGCTTAACTAAAGTCCAGGTGACTCAGAGGCCATGCTCCTGATACAGACACTAGACTTGGCTTTTTTTTTTTTTTTTTTTTAAAGAAACAATGGCGTGCATGTGCCGGAGGCCAGATTTGTGTGTCATGTTATATGGGACGTATTCCTCAACTGCATGACTGTATCAGTGGCTACTGAGTTATCTGTCAGTTGTTCACCAGTTAGCATATTTATTTGTATTTTCTCAACAGATGTTAAGGTACAACTGTGTTTTTCTCAATGGTATCTAAAAACCATAGTACTCAATTCCAACAGTTGTGAAGATGTCTCTTAATTGTGTGAAGAATTGGTGTCGTCATCATCATTTCAGCTGATTTTCTTCTGTACAAGATCTGACTTGACTGCTTCACCTCATTGGACTCATCAGCCAGTCTCAACTCTGCCCCTAAACACAACTAGCTCTTTCAAAGTACTGTTCTTCGTGGCGTATAGTTATCTAATGAAGACACCTCATTCAAACAAAATCTGCCTTTGGAAAATTTAATATATTTTAAATTATTTTAAAAGAAATGCAACATCTTATCCTTGGCTTTCTTACTAGGTGCTTTGTGGAGGCCTGTGTACCATGATAAAACGTGTTGAAAAAGCAGAGGAGTCTCTCCTCTGCTGCCTTTGTTGCTGAAAGAAAAACATTTCAAGATGAGAGGCTTTCATCGAAGGAAAGAAAGTTAAAAGCTTTTGGCTTGCCGTTTCATTTTTTCCATTAAGGAAAAAAAAAAACCCACCTTTTAAAACTAGTGAGTACAACAAGACAGCTGGGAATGGACTGGGCAAAATTAAGTTTTGTGGTTATCTTGAAATATCGTGTACAGTGTAGTCTGAGAGGCTCTGGGCCGCCTCCTTGAGCCCCTCACCCCACACCCCCAGCCATTAGCTTCAGACTTTGCTTTTGTCCTTTGGCAGCGAGGCCTATGTGTGTGATGCACATAACCTTCTCCCTTTTGATAATATAAGAATTGGACACCTTTATAAAGAACAGCCTCCAAAGAAAGTTGATTCTCTGATATCAGGGACGGAGGAGGCTTTCTCATATAAATGCAAGTGGAACAAGTCAGCGTCTGTGTAACTGGCTAAGGAAAGAGGAGTCACTTGTAACACAACAAGCAAGCTGCTTTATTTTTATTGTGCAGAACACTATCACACATGCAGCACAAATGCTCGCAGATAAACTGCATTACATTTAGATTAAATATGAAGAGTCTCAATCCTTTCAGCACTTGCAGGTTTAGAGTCAGGCTTAGTCTTACGTGCCCTGGGTTAAACAAGCCAGTGTTGAATGACCTCTGGCCCCAATAGCATCATTTAAAATGAATGTTTTCGCTACTGTCCACACCACAATTGGGAACCTGCTAGCAACTCCTCTACTTCAAAAGGAGAAATAAAAAGGCCAGTTTTAAAGTAAGAAAGAAAATTGAATCCACTTTATAAGAGTATAATAGTTTGGGCCAGAAATCCATTAATGCCTATTTAAAGTAGCGCCACAGATTAGATTTACAAACTGAACTCTGAAGATGTTCTTTTTACCTTGAGTTGGAAGACACTTGGACTGTATTAGATTTGAAAGCCTGATATTCCAAATGGGGTAGCCCATTTCCTATCACCCAGGCAACTGAAGGGTAAAAGCCTTAAGGCTACAAAGGTTTTACTTTTTTCCCCCCCTTATAAAACACAAATGGGCAGTGCAGTGAGAGAGCTGTACCTTAAAACTGCTTTGTACATCCCTGCTCCAACCAGCCACAAACACGGTACTTTGGGTACATGTCTGCCCACCCACGCCTGGAACAATTTTCCGAAAGTGGGGGTGACTGTGTCCCCTGCTCTCCAGTCACTGCTGGGCCTGAGAATAGGCAGCAAGTGGTCCTCAGCATCTAGGCTTCTGTGACAATCAGGTCTCTGGTGACTTGAAAGGCGGCAATGAGGGAACTCAGCTGTATCTTCTCATTGGTGCCAACAGAAAGTCTGTACCTAAAAGAAATCAAACAAAAGGTAAGAAGAGAGAATATCACAACAGCTGCCTTTTGAAGAGAACAACAGCAGTCAGACTGAAAGTTGGCCAGAGAAGGATTGGAAAGAGGTGAGAGAAGTTCATTCTGGGCAGCAATCTCGTGCATGTCCCCTAATGTTTTTGTTGCCTCAAACACTCCTTTATAAATTTTATTCAAACTGGGGGCAGGGGGGAATATTAAATTAAAAAAAAAATTGTTCCCAGTAGCAGTGTTCTGAACTTAACTTTGTTCAAGCTCTATACAGATATGCAAAATTTATGTGATTAGGCATTATTTCTTCACCTGCAAAATGCATCGAGAGGAATTACAATTAAGAATCCCTTCCTCGTAACTCACTGGGAAGCTTGGCTGCCGTATCTGTGGTTCTGTGGTCAATAAAGCAAGACCCTGGTATCTCATCTTGCCACCTGTCAGGTGCCCAGCCACTGAAAGCAAAACCATGCTACCCACAGTGTAGTGATAAGAAGTGACCTAACTGGTACGTGTGAAAGCCAACGACGACAAATTAGTTGGCTTACGTGGACATCTATTTTGAACCTAGTGCTTTTGTCTACTTAAATGATAGCTGCCAGCTTCACTGGGGGCTAATAACTGTGTTTACTGAAGCAGGCAAAGTGGAAAATTGAGTTTATGTTTACTTTCCCTGTAATATGCTTTCGTATGCCAGAAGGCCTTAATAACAGCTGGATAGCTGGCCGTCCCCAAACGACCTAGATGTCTGAACTGAAGCAGGCTTCCCACATAACAAGAGCATGTCTGGAACCAAGGTGGACCAGGCCTCTGAGGTCGAAGGAGAGGCCTTTATCTCAAATGCGTAACCGAGTTGTACCTGTCTTTGTGTTTATCCACGTTCTTCACATAAGCAGCTCACACCCTTCCCTGTGCTTCGTTCAATAATTCAATTCCAGCAAAAACTAAACTCTACTGTATATGAATGATTTAGACAAAACAGTTGAAACCAAGCAAGGAGAAACAACTCACAATGGGGAAAAAGGAGGAAAAGAATTAAAACTGGGAAATAAATACTCACTCAATGTCTGCCATTTTGGTCAATAAATGTATTCGAACTGAAGATGGAAAGTCAACTGGGGGAAAAACAAAATCAAATGAGTGGGGTCTGTCATTACCTACTATATATATAAAAAAAAATCACAGAAGTATGAGTTTCCACATCAGATACATAAGACTAACCTCTTGAGGCCACAGATCTCAAGATACCACACCTCTAGGAGGTAAAAATTGCATAGGTTTTCATAGTTTTTATTCATTTTAGTCTTCGGAGAGTAGCCAAAAAGAAAAATGAGCAGGTTCCAGAGTGATCATAAGATGGAAGAGCCATCCACACTGCCCTGTCAGCACTGGGCCGCTCTGTAAGTTACTGTGAAAGCGAAGTTCTCACTTGCTGTCCCAATTTTTTTTTTTTTTTTTTTGCGGTACACGGGCCTCTCACTGTTGTGGCCTCTCCCGTTGCGGAGCACAGTCTCCGGACGCGCAGGCTCAGCGGCCATGGCTCACGGGCCCAGCTGCTCCGTGGCACGTGGGATCTTCCCAGACTGGGGCACGAACCCGTGTCCCCTGTATCGGCAGGCGGACTCTCAACCACTGCGCCACCAGGGAAGCCCTGCTGTCCCAATTTTAAAAACAAACATAACCACTGTAAAGCAATTATACTCCAATAAAGATGTTAAAAAACAAAAAACATAAATAATTGATTTTTCAAAGTCGATTCATGCTCAGCATCCACAAAGTGCAGAGCTGGGCCTGAGCCAACCATGTTCTCGGGCAGAATTTCACATGCCAGCCAGCCAGGGAGAGGCCTGGAAAGGCACTGGCAGAACAGTGTTCGTGGACCTAAGTGTCTGCAGGTGGCTGCTGGACAGGCAGAGCTTCTCCACAAGGCTGAAGAGCACGTCACTTAGAGCTCAAAGACACACTCGTGTCTGGTTCTCCCCCAAAAGGGCCAACTGGATTGGTCTGGGGTGATTCACATGTGCTCTCAAGGTAGAGGAGCAATTCTCTGTGCAGGACATACGACCAAGTGTGGACCTAAAGATGGTTTAGTTGAGGCTGCTTTGGTTTTGTGAAGCTAGATCTTCCTCCTCCTTTCTTTTTGGGGAAAATAGCCTTTTAGAAATACAAACTCCAACATACTGCTGTAAAATACAGACCCTTGGAGGAAATAAGTTAGCCTTTAGGAGTTTCTTTCCTGTTTTTCCCCAGCATTCTAGAAGTCAAAAGAGTATTTGGGGGGCTTCCTTGGTAGTGCAGTGATTAAGAATCCACCTGCCAATGTAGGGGACACAGGTTCCAGCCCTGGTCCGGGAAGATCCCACATGCTGTGAAGCAACTAAGCCCGTGCGCCACAACTACTGGGCCTGTGTGCTACAACTACATGCACCTAGAGCCCATGCTCTGCAACAAGAGAAGCCACCGCAATGAGAAGCCCGTGCACCGCAACGAAGAGTAGCCCCCACTGGCCACAACTAGAGAAAGCCTGCGCACAGCAATGAAGACCCAATGCAGCCAAGAATAAAATAAATAAAGTGAATTTACGAAAAAAAAAGAGTATTTTTGGAACAAGGTTTTAAAAGCAAGACACAGACACACAGATATTGGGTTGGCCAAAAAGTTTATTCGGTTAGTGAATACGTTCAATAAAGTTCTTTGCGAAAATTAAAAATGTGTCTTTTAGTGTTATTTAAACCCGAATGAACTTTTTGGCCAACCCAATAAAAAAAATAAATAGCAAAACAAAACTGAAAATGAGGGGCCGGGTTTACACCTCTTCATTCCTGTTTCTGTTTCCAAAACGAAGCGTCACGTTCCCTCTCCAGCCACCCTCAACCCCAATGCATGCCACCTTCTGCATAGCTTCTGAACTGGGGAAGAACCTAGGTTACCTCTGTGCACGAACAGGTGTATCTCTGTCAGGATGTCATGTAATGCCAACCCCTTTAGAGTTTTCAACTCCATGATATCTAGAGAGGAGCAGTTAAGGCAAAGGGAACAAATTCCTGAACAAACACTGCAGAGAATGACTTGAAAGTACGGCTTTTCACGCCAACACAGCTGTTTCCTTCACTCTGAAGTTGCACGTGTTGGACCCCAATTCTTATTTTTCTGTTTTCACCTCCATTAAGGGAGATGAAAGATATCTCTGTCTAGTAGAGAACAAAACCAAATGCATTGCCCAAAAGGCTTTCCATCACTACAGCTAGATTTTAATTTCATAGCAAAACAAGAGTAACACTAACTGCTTGAAAATGACTGCACCTTCCACCCAAGGTCTAAGTGCTTCCCTCCCATCTGAGAGTTAAGCTGCTTCAAGCCATACCCAGCTCAGGGCCCTTCAGGAACAACTTGGGGCATGAAAGACAAGTACCCATCCCCCCCACAGACACCTTGCTCCCATGACAAGCTGAAAGGTGTCCCGTGCAGCCGCTTGTCTTGCCAGTAGGGTGTAGGCGCTGCCTGCAGCCTGAGCTTGTGAGGCCACGTTCAGGCCTTGAGCACCTAATGCACTGACTGAAGGACAAGAGAAAGGATACTCCTGTAGGCCGTGGTGAAGTCTTGATTCAACATCCAGTCCAGAATGTTGGCGATGTCTGACTTGAGTGGGTGCCCTGTGCAGGTGTAGACGGTCTCCTCCGTCACCTTCCCAAAGGCCATGTTGGTGCTCTGGGCAGACAGGGGGAGAGTCACCACGGCTGCTGCAGCCACTGAGCTGCAGGAGGGTCAGGAGGAAACTGCGGAGGCAGCAATGCGGGTGGGCACGGGAGAGCTCGAGCCCTGTACTTTTTACACTGCTAAGAGCTGGCCGCATCAGAGGAGGCCACTGCTTGTCGGCTACGTTACTTTGCAGAGTCCTTCCCTATCTTTCCCTTATTTGCAACAAATTATTCTTTCAATTAATCAAAACACAAAGGTGGGCGTACATCTATGACATACTATGAGATGTCTTACCAGTTCCAGATTTCTGAATTAACACATCGGTCATGCTGTTGCTTATGCCTTTCTTGAAAAAGTATTCTGAAGCGCCAACTCGAGATGTGCCAGGAGCGGTGCCCTACCTGCAAGATGTTCAGAGCCCTTCGCATGTCTCCACTGGAAAGAGTTACGAGCGCTTTCATCCCGTCTTCACTTATGTCAACTCTGCAAGGAAACAGGCAGGAGGGATATAGAGGCCCTGAGAGCACAAATGCTCCCCGAGGGGACAAGATGGACTGTGAAGATCAAGGCTTTGAAACAATGAAAGAGAAAAAAGGGAAGGACGGAGTCAACAATACTCTCCTGATTTACAGGCTCCAGAACTTGCTCTGGCTGCTGGGGACGTGGGCCTCACGTGAGTAGTCACAGCCCAGTCCAAGTCTAGCAAGACCATCATTTGGGGCCAAGCATTGCTGTGTTGAGCAGGTAGCTTTGAATTCTGTTCTCTGGAGAGGAGAGGGTGCTGGCGAGATCTGCGCTCGCAGAGCCCAAGCACCTGTCGAATCAGCAGCAGCTCGGGCTGGCTACTTGCTTGGCATCTGATCACGCAGAATGTGATGTCTCAGGACCTTCCCTGCTAGTTGAGAAAGGCTACAGGCTTCTTAACGGGAGGGACCTGGCAGCGTGCAGTTTCCAAAGACAAAGAGTAGGAGGAAAGTGGGACCGCTTCTAGGGGAGGATGATGGACTCCAGTAAGGAACCAAATGACCTTTATGAAGAATGTCTGTGAGCTACCAGGGCGGCCGACAATGAGGTTTACCCTGTGCCAGGCTCTCCCGAGTTGTTTACAAACGTTATCGCCTTCAGACGTACCAGTAGCTGCCTTACATGACACCCAGTCCCCAAGGCCCCGCTTTCCCTGCTTTTCAACATACTTACTGCTCTTCTTCTGCGACATGTTCCAGGCGGGGAACCATGAGTTCAGGGGTCAGGGGACCGAATCGGAACCTTGTACACCGGGACTGCAAGGCGGGGATGATCTTTGACAGATAGTTACAGATGAGGCAAAATCTGGTATTTTCAGTAAATTTCTCAATCACTGGCAAGGGAAAAGAGAACCACCTCACGTCCATCCTGATTCTTCAAGGGACCCAGAAACCCTGAACTTTCCTACGGTCACGTGAAGCGGGGAATCAAGAATGCAAACAAGTGGGAAAGCTACTGCAGCGAGAGAGGGTGAGCCTGGAGACCAACCACTCTCTCCCCAGAGCTGATGCACACGTCACGTCCACGGGACTGGACAAAATGCTTCCTTTTTCATGACTGGCTGTGATCCCGGCACTCTTGCCGTTCCATTCCACTAAGATATGAAATCCAGTACGCCTGCCCTTTTGCATAAAATCCTATTTGGCAAACGGATGATGTGCCACCTTCTACTGGGCGGGGGAGGGGGGTGGCTTTTTGCAGACTCTCCAGTGGACCTTGTCTTGAACCCTTAGAGCATTCGAGAAAGCATTAACCCGAATTCAGAGATGCCTATGACACCAGTTTCAACCTGTAGGTACCAATGTTCTCACGCTGGGATCTGCCCAGACTGACTCTACAGAATAAGATGCTGAAGAAAGGTGGCCAAAGCCTCTAGGACCAGAAGATATTCTGTCCTCCTCCTCCGCTTCTTAAACATGGGCTGCAATCCACCCCTCCCCAGAATTCCTAAAGATCATCTTCTCTCCTAGCTGTCTACCGCAGAATCTTAATGAGACAGATTAAGAATGTCCTTGCAAAGAAATTAACTGCACCTTTAAGACCAACAAATCACAGTATACTCTCCTTTCCTGGCCCAATCATTCTCCTGGCAAGTAGGGAAGTCATGTCGGCTTTCTGAGTGCAACTAAATTTCCAGTGTTATTTTCCTGGCTATATTGTATCTAACGGTACCAACAGCAGAAAGACCTATCTAGCAGTTTAGAAATGAAAGACTTCCCATTCCCTCCCATCAAACAGTACAAATTCCCAACCCTGAAATTGAACCCAGCGGAAAAGTAGGATGGAACACCAGTGTCTGGTCATACCTAAAAGTCCCCAAAAGGCTAATGTCTTTACGCTATTAAAAGGGGTAACCACCGGTACAGAGATTTTTGTCTAGGTCATCAGGTGGGATACACAGTGAAAGGTATATAGAGATTTCGCTGGGCCAGAAGATGAATGAAAATTGAAAAGAAGCCACGTCCTATCTCATGTCCAAAGTTGCTAACTCTCCTTCCAAAGCATTCCTCAGCCATACACACCGTACACGGCTGTGCTCCTTACCTCTCCGCAAGGCGTTCTGGGCGTCCTGAGTCATGGCATCAGCTTCATCCAAGATCACTAGTTTAAAGCCTTTCCTAGGAAAACAATTGGTACCACCTAAAAAGCCTTCTTCAATCTCCCTTTGACTTCCAGGCCCAAACCTACACCTTCACATTTGTGCCATCAGGCCCTGGCTCATGAAGTTCGTTTCTCCTAGAACTCTGACCAAAGCAGGCATCTGTGGTCAAAGCGCATGGAGGTCTAATTTCTGTATTTGTGTTAGATTATGTCCTCTGGCACCTTCATCTTTCTTCCACCCAGTAGCCTCTTATTCTATTCTAGTGCTGCTTTTTCCTCTTTTTCTTTTTTTACCACCATCCTAGTTATCCACCCTGATCTCAATTCATTTTTGTTTAAATTCAAACTAGCTCCTCCAGTCTTATGATGTAATGAAATTAATGCTTCCCCAGAGAACTTGCTAATATAGATTTAGATAATATTTTGTTTTAATATTTGCATTTTAATATGTCTTACCACCATTCCTGTACTTTATCTCTCTTTCATGACTGCTTTTGACAAAGCCTTTTTCTTTTTCCCTTACTTTTACAAACTAGCAAAGGAGAGGATTTAAGAAATTAAACTCTATCACCTCACTGATCAAAATCTTTAGGGAGAGAAATTATGCAAAGAATTCTTACTTAAATATTGTCCTTGTGCTAGCAAAGCTCAGGATTGGTCCCCGAACGATATCTATTCCTCGGTCATCTGAAGCATTCAGCTAAATGTGAGAGAAGCCAAAATAAATAGAAAACGTGTTGGTGTGCTAGCTGTGAATTAATGTACCTTTTCATCAATCCTGCTCAGCAAGCTAGGTCTCTAGTTCTAAGGACAGATAAGAGATAATCATTAAAAATAAGATGACAATTATATTTAAAACTTACAACTCACTAGATCATTCCATTATACTCTGAAAGGCCAATCAACGTGTGTGTTTCCTCCCCCTTCTGAGGACAAAATCACTGACGTGCTCTGGGGGATAATTAACTGGTCTGCTCATGGTGAACAGCGCCTCTGGCACGAGCAGAATGATGCTAATTTTAGCTACCACAACCCAGAGCAACCCAGAAGTTACCAAGTCTTTAATACAATGAAGTAAGAACACTGGTGGCAGCAAGGTTCTATAATACAAAAGCAAGTTAAACAGTTTTTTTCTTACAATAGACAATATTTACAATTTCGTAAGCTAAGTTTATCGCTCGAGTCCTAGTAGTAAACAGATGGCATACTCAAATTCAGTAATTTGAAGAGAATTAAATGAAGAGATACTTTAAAAGGTGCCAGTAAGGTGTGGGGAAACCACAAGGGCTATGCAAATACCTCAAGGCCTACTGGGGCCCATTATCACCCCCAAGTCTTAAGGGGTTGGTGGGGGAGTGGCACTGGTGGGGTGTGTGTGTGTGGGAAAGGCTGCATGCTGTGCCCTGCGGGTGGGGAAGCTGTTGGCCTGTCGTGACCCCCAGGGCAGGACCAGGCATCCTTCTCCCTTCCCCAACCCCTTCCAGGCCCCTGCTGGCCAAACCCAACCAGGAGCCAGAGGGCAAGAGAGCTCGCAGCCTTCCGGGGCAGGGCAAGAAGAGCATGGAGCAACATGCAGAAGGGATCTGGGGGCACATGGGAGACAGCCATCAACCGAGCAACCACTGAGGATTTGGGTAAAAGTTGGCAACAGCAAAGAAAGACACCTAGTCCTACCACTGCCCTTTAGCTTGTACCAGTCCAGGCAAAAATGTCAATTATAGAAAAAAAGTGAATTAAAACATCTTATGTCTCCTTCTTTCCCAACCACCAGCAGGGCAACTAACTTGTAAAGTAAAACAAAACTAGCAGACCTAAAAGTAAGAGGCTGGAGTCGTTCGAGAGTAACAATAAACCTCCCATTTACCTCCAAGACCATGGAGCCAAATTCCTTATCTTTGTACAGCTGTTTAGCACAGGCCAGGATGGTGGATGTCTTTCCCGTCCCTGGAGGACCATAGAGAAGGAGGTGCGGCAGGCGGTCCTCACTGATAAACTTCTGAACTGAAGGTCAGGGGGAGAAAGAGAGAGGCCATCAGTCTCTGAGAGTTGCCTCATTCACTGCAGGCCCGAGTTGGGCTGAAGGTACTTCAACCATATGTTCAAATCTGGGTCAGATGCAGGAATGAAAAATCTGAAGGACTCAGCTCTTAAAGCCACATCCCATAAAGCTCAATCAGATCCTTCAAAATTATTACTCAGTAGAGACAACATTCCTAAGTGTATTCAGGTCCTTCGACTAGGGTACCAGCCGCTAACACATGGATACATACTGGTACTCAAGATGTCCTGATGAGAAATGAGATCATCCAGTGTCTGTGGCCGGTATTTTTCAACCCTGAAATACAATTTAGCATTGATTACAACATATATAAAGGCAAGAACATTTTGTTATGTGCAAAAGAATCCTTTCATATCCTAACTAAAACAGAAAGAGATACAAAACCCTTTAACAGTGGTTCTCAACCGGGGCCATTTTGTCCTCCAGTGAACTCTTGATAATATCTGGAGACATGTTCCACTGTCAAAGCTGAGTGGGGGGTACTACTGGCATCTAGCGGATAGGCACCAGGGATGCTGTTAAACATGCGGCAATGCACAGGACAACCCCCATGCCCTCCCGCGACACCCCACATATCTGGCCCCAAATATCAATAGTGCTGAAAAACTGCTCTCATTTCATCTTTCCAGCTGTCTGCCTATAATCTCAACCTGGATGGGCACCTAAGTTAATCCAAAATTGAACTCATATCCAAATATAAATTAACAGATGAATGGATAAATAAATGGTGGTATAGCCACACAAGGGAACGTTATTTGGCAATAAAAGGAAATCAGTTACTGATATAAGAAGCCAGTAACGGGACATCCCTGGTGGTCCAGTGGGTAAGACTCTGCACTCCCAATGCAGGGGGCCCAGGTTCGATCCCTGGCTGGGGGATTAGATCCCGCGTGCCTGCTGTAACTAAGAGTTCAAATGCCGCAATGAAAGATCCCACATGCCGCAACGAAGATCCTGTGTGCCACAACTAAGACCCGGTGCAGCCAAAATAAATAAATAAAAATTTCTTTTAAAAAAAGAAGCAGCCAGTCACAAAAGGCCACGTATCATATGACTCCATTTATATGAAATATCCAGAATAAGCAAATTCATAAGAAACAGAAAGTAGATTAGTGGTTGCCACGGGCTGAGGAAGGGGGGAATGGGGAGTTGCCAATGGGTACGGGGTTTCCATTTGGGATGATGAAAAATTTTGGAACTAGATAGTGGGATGGTTACATAACATTCTGAATGTACTTAATGCCACTGAATTGTACATTTTAAAATGGTTACAACTGTGAATTGTATGTTATGTATTTTTATTACGATAACAATAAACTGAAAAGAAACAACTTGGAGTTTTCCGAAATCAAGTCAAATCCATTCACTCTTTAAACCATCACTAAGACACAGTTGTGTGAGTAGGATGGTTAAGAGTGCAAGCTCTGAATCTGGACCAGCTGGGTTCAAATACAAACTTATTTTCCAACTCTGGACCTCTGGCAAGTCATTTAACCTTTTGGTAAAACTGGAATAACAGTACCTTCTTCCTAGTGTCTGTAAAATTCCAACATCTAATAGGGTGCCTGCTAATCTAATAGAAAGTCACTTAAATAAAAGTTAACTAGGGAGCGTTGTCATCATCATCATATTATTATTCTAGTTTAGAATCTGACCAATAATCGTACCGAGAGAAGAGAATATTTTGGCAAGAGAGAAGACTATTTTGCCACGGAGGTCAAGGTAGTGTCAGAAGACATGAGATCGAACCCCTGTGCCGATCGAACCCTGGGGCGGCGGGGCGAGGACGGGGTGGGGACCTGCCACTTGCCCACTCCGGCCACCACCTCCCCGCGCGGCCGACCCCCTTCCCCGCGGCTGCTGGGCCTCCTCCTACCAGGGCAGGTTCCTGATCTTGCCCCCTTCAGGCTGCTGCTGCTGCTGCTTGTGCGCTGAGGTCTCCATGACAGGGTGACGGAGGTCGCTGGGTCCGGTGGGTTTGTCGCCTCCCCCAGCCGCCTGCTCCGCGACCAGTCAAGACGTGACCCCGAGACCCACGTACTTACAGTTCGCGCGCAAACGCAACTCTCGCGATGTTTAGCTGCTGGCTTCCGACTTCCTCCCCTCCGGTCCCGCCCCCTCCCCGTTGCTAAGGCCTCTGTTGCCTGGTTACCGGGAGGCCCAGGCCGTCAGCCTCGTTCCAACTCCGCCGTTCTAGCCGGGGCTGCCCTCTCTCTGGTGCGGCTTGGGCGTCCCGAGCCCAGCGAGCGCGGGAGCAGGAGAGGCAAGGCCACCCCTTACAGTTCTTGAATACAGTTGCCGTATGAAAAAAGGCTCCAAATACTTTGTTGGCCCCAAAGCTGGCAGGTGAGTACTTCAAATTGAAAAACAATTCCAAGCACAACTCCAACTCCAATCCGTCTCCCAAATCCATTTCCTTCACCCAACAAAATTTACAGAACCGACCGACCTCTAGAAACAACTCCAGAGCGAAAACAAATAAATAAGTAAGTAACTTCCGTTTAGGTTAATATGTGTAACTGGAAAAGGCTAGTCAGTAAGCATAGAGGACAGGCTGCCTCTGATCTCAAGCTACTGAGGAGAATCGTTATCAAAATGTTAGCATTTTTTTCTGAGGTGAGGGGATTATGGACCACTTTTGTTTTCTTCTATTTTGCTGGTCTGTATTCCCAGCAATGAGTATGTATTACATCCATAATAAAGTTTTTTTTTGTTTCGTTTTTTGTTCTTTTGCGGTACGCGGGCCTCTCACTGTTGTGGCCTCTCCCGCTGCGGAGCACAGGCTCCGGACGCGCAGGCTCAGCGGCCATGGCTCACGGGCCCAGCCGCTCCGCGGCATGTGGGATCTTCCCGGACCGGGGCACGAACCCGTGTCCCCTGCATTGGTAGGCAGACTCTCAACCACTGCGCCACCAGGGAAGCCCTGTTTTTTGTTTTTTAACATGCTGAGAAAGGCAACAACCCTGGGAGAAGATGAGGCTGGACCGGGATCAGAAGTGTTCTGATTCAGAAGTAGCTGCTCCTTGCATCTTATTACATCACCGTCGCCTGTTTTAGGAGCAGAGTAGAGGGACAGAGGACAAATACACGATGGCAGTTATGGCTTCACCCTCGCCCCTGCCTGGGGAGTCAGAAGAAGGGGGTCAGATGGGGCTTGTGATATGACAGTGCCCCTGCTCTCTGCTTCCTCCTGACACTGGTTGTGCAGGTCGCTAGGGTACCACTGTTCCCGCTCAGCTTTGGGCAGGTTACTTCTCTCCTCGTCCAACCATATCTACTCCAAGATGGCTGTGAGGATTAGATGAAATAACATAGGTAAAGCATCTGGTATATTCCACCCGCCTCTCTCTCTCTTCTAGAAATCTCTTCACCCATCCTGTACTTGGCACAAATGTTTCCTCTCAAACAAAACCTAAAGAATTGGCTGGTGTGACTATGCCGGGGAGGGTTAATTTTATGTGTCAACCTGACTGGGCCAAGTGATGCTGGGAGAGCTTGTAAACATTATTTTCGGGGAGCGTCTCTGAGGGTGTTTCTGGAAGAGATTGGCATCTGAAGTGGGAGAATGAGTAGAGCAGATAACTCCCATCAAGGCAGGTGGGCATGATCCGATCCACTAGGGTCCTGAATAGAACAAAAAAGGCAGAGGGAAGGTGAACTTGCTCTCGTTTCGAGCTGGGACATCCATCCTTTCCTGCCCCCTGGACATTGGCGCTTTTGATCCTCAGGCCTTTGGACCAGCTCTCCTGGGTCTTCAGCTTGCAGACAGCAAATCATGGGACTTCTTGGCCTCCATAATCATGTGAGTCAATTCCTTTGATATCTATGTTATATAAATATCTATATACAAATATGAATATATCTAAAATATATTTTAAATAAAAATATAGTATATATAATGTATAGTGATATATTAATATTTATTGTATGGTGTATAATATAAAAATATTTTAAAATCTACATAAATATAATACATAGTATAAATATAAATTATATTTAAATATACTTGTATTATAACATAAGTATAAATATAATATATATATGTAAATACTATTGGTTCTGTTTCTCTGGAGAACCTTACTATAAAAACCATAAACTGGGCTTTATTCAACTGCCATGGTAAGAGCCATGCTGCTAAGGGGCTTTTGCATTAGAAACATGATGTCACCACCTCCTTGAGATGGAAGATGCAAACAAAACTTGACCAAGTTCTCATAAAACTGTGTGCACTTGCTGTCCAGTTTGCCTGGAGTGCAAATTTCTTCTGTGTGACATTCTATCTTATATTCATGAGGTTATCTATTGTGGGCCCCCCCAGTGGATTGTAAGCTCATTTGAGTTCCTCACCACTGTACTCCTGGTGCCTGGAACAGTGCCCGTCTCAAAGGAAGCACTCAATTTATAATTGTTTGATGAAGGAATGAATGAATGCTAATAGCTAATGTTCATTAGGCAGTTACTATGGGCCAGACAGTGTTCTAAGTGCTTTTACATTCTGTATGCATATTCAGTTGTTGCCTTGAACCCAGGCCACTATCATTATCGGCCCCATTTCATAGGTGTGCTAAGTAACTTGCCCGTGTTCTGACTTGGTGTAAGAGGCAGAACTGGATCTCACCAAGATGGTGTGATTCTATAGCCCAAGCTCTTAGCCACTCTGGTGGTGGCTGGTGTGGTCGCTGGACCAGCAGCGGCAGCATCTCCTGGAAACTTGTTAGAAATGCTCATTATTCTTCCCCCCCCACCCCAAAACCACTGAATCTGAAACTCTAGGGGTGGGCCCAGCTCTCCGTGTTGTAACAAGCCCTCTAGGGGATTCTGATGCGCTCAAGCTTGAAAACCACCGCCTTATATTCTACTGCTTCTTAGTCTTCGAGCTCCTCAGGACTTCACTTTCTAAGAAAAAGAATGGGTACTAAAATGAGTTTTCTGGAAAAACAAAGGTGTCCTAGTAAATGTTATTTGTGTGTGGTTTTGCTTCTGTCTGTTTTGCTATTAACTGAAGGTATAGTTCTTTAGGCAACTTAATATCTCTTTGGACCTCAGTATTGGCATTCGTAAAATGGGTGGGGCTGAACTAGAGAGAGGGTTAATGTTAAAAGCACCAGAGGATTTTTTAAAATTCCAGTGCCAGAAGTCCAGCCAGACCAATTAAATGTGGCCTGGGGGTGTGACCCGGCAGTTGGCATTATAAAAGGTTCTCAGTTGATTCTGATATTCAGCCAAAGTTGAACTACTGCCCTAGGCTAAGCCAATCACAGCAAACCTAGTCCCCTGATTGGCTTAAAGTGTGAGCCTGTGATCCAGTTCTGCCCAATGAGATGTAAGAGAGAGTGGTGGTGGAGGGAAGGGGCATGTGGGAAACTTTTCTCATTACTTTGCCCATCTTTGCACTAGATGATCTTTAGCTTTTCTCCCAGTGACAAAACTCTATCACTTTAAAGAGAAAGAGGGAGAGAAGACCTGAGTTCCAAGCTCACATGTCTTACAAGTAGCCTGAAGTTAATATATAAAGGAAGAGGGTTGGTTGGACACTATGCCCTGCCTCAAGGGGGCAGAGCTTATACATGAAAGATTTAAGCAGAAAAGGATTGTAGCAATGAAATATTGGCTAGCTCACAGTCAGTTAGAATTCTGGAGACCCCGCTTGGAAAATGGAACAGAGACAGGCCGTGGAACTGAAACCATGGTCAAAATTACTCCATGGAACGATACTAGTAAGAAAATTGTTTTTGCTGCCGACTTTCAGAGGCTACTGCCCGCCCACCCCACGCTGACCCTACAAACTGGATGTTGCTTTAACCATGTCTGCTGTCAGAAAGAATTCAGTTCTCTCCTGTACTAGAGTCTTCCTAAAGCTAGTGCCACATTAGAAACCTGGGGAGGGACTTTCCTGGGGATCCAGCGGTTAAGACTCCACGCTTCCACTGCAGGGGGCGCAGGTCCGATCCCTGGTCTGGGAACTAAGATCCTGCATGCCGCGTGGTATAGCCAAAAATTAAAATAATAATATTAATAATAAAAAATAATAAAAATAAAAACCTGGGGAGACATGCCTAATTGGCCAGGCCTGGGTCACATGCTAGTAAGTACCAGGTATATAGCTTGAGTAGTGGGAAGAGACATCTGCCTGCCACCAAGACTTGTGAACTGGTGACATCCCTGAATATAGGAGAGGGATTGCAGCCATAAGGATCACAACTGTCCACTACACCAGTACTCAGCCGTGAGGGACAGCAACCAAATGGTGCCAGCTCTTCTGATTTTTCAAGAGAAACCAGAAACTGGGATTTGTATGTGAAATTCTTGTATGGTAAACATTGACAACTAATTAAAAAAAGTCTGCTGGCCAAGCAAAAACACCGTCAGAGCCCTTGTGACTTTTGATTTCTCAAGGACAGAGGATCAGGCAAAAGATATAGCGATTCCTTCTTACGCTCTGCCTAGATGTTAGACCTTCTGGAGGATTAAGGCAAATCAAGCTGCTCTCTCCATGTGAATTGTGACATTGATGAGCACAGGCACAAACTTTTCTTACATAATCAGAACCAGATTTGGAAATGCTTTAATAAAATATCAGGTCATGGAGATGGCAGGATCAGAGTTTGCAAACAAAATTAACAACAAAAGGCATTTTCTCTTAAAATTGGATTAGGGAAAGGGAACCCTGAATTTTATTATTCTCAGCTTTGGAACAAACTTGGCCTTGGACACAGCACTTACTGCCTTAGTTTATTTTTAAGACTTGTTCTTATGAGAGAATGGGATTCAGGCTATCTTTGGAAGAGGCTGGCAGAAGAAACTCAAACTGGGTCTTTCTCCTGAACATGTTTATACTGGTGAAATCATGTTTAAATGAAGAGCTAGGACTTGAAGGAGGGAAAAATCTCAAAGGGCAATTTGAAGAGTGTGTATAAGGGGAAGGGCCATCTTCTTTGGTGACCATGGCAAGATCATTGACTGACAAGGAATTTAAGTCCTCAGGTCTTTTGGGGGTACTTGTCCCCTACAACTAGTTTCTCTTGTCAGACGTCCAAAAATGCCCTACATCGGAACTTAGGGAAACTCATTCAGCATCCACTAAACATTTGTTGATTGAATAACTAATGAAAT